GAATCACCAATCTCAAAGATATATGTGAATCCAAGAATAATCCACATTTGTTCTAAAAACTAAATAGTACATGAGAATAAAAACTCATTCTGCTCCTAATTCGTTACATTTGTCTGTCTCTTAGCAATTTAATTAGCAAGTAAAATTAGGGATTCGCCTATTTGTGACCATAAATATATATAAATTCTACACTTAACGGGAGCAGCCTATTTGTCTTCTTAGTTTGAACCTGCCAGGCGAGAATGAAGTGTGGACAAAGCTGATCCGTCCATCTAGTAAATCTAACATGACAGATGAAAACTAGCAAGTAACTTGTAGCTTAATGACACCTCCGTGACTCTTTCAATTGGGAGGTCACAAGTCCGAACCCCAGCGGAGGCATTCTCTTTGTGTTTTATCCGCGAATGCACTACACAAATGTCATCATATTTTTCTTCTGCTCTCATGGGAACTAAATGAGAACAGGATCATGTATATATATATATATATATATATATATATATATATATATATATATATATATATATATATATATAGGCGAGTTCAGGTGCGGCAGTGTCTTACGGTGCGGCAACACTAATAGTTCAACAAATATGCACCATCAACGTTAGGAAAATACACCACAAAAAACAGAGTTAACAGAGCTTTGCATCACCAAACACACACTACTAGGTGAGTAAAAACATCATACACTGTTCAGAAATACACCATTGGGGGTGGTGAGTTATATCGTGTATTTTTTTGAGTCTGTTGTGTATTCTGTGATGTTTTATTGCATTTCATTGTGGTGTGTTTTTCTAACACTGTTGGTGCATATTGTTAACACTGTTGGTGTATTCTGAAATTCCGCCGCACGGGAAGACCCCGCCGCATTTGAACTTTATATATATATATATATATATATATATATATATATATATATATATATATATATATATATATATATATATATATATATATATATATATATATATATATATATATATAGTTAATACCCAAAATCGTCCTCGACTATAGTGGTTTTTCTCAATTTCGTCCTAAACGACTTTGGTGACCTAATATCGTCCCAGACTTTTGTGTTTCGCTCAATTTAGTCATCCATTTGTTATTCCGTCAAATTGGTGTTAAATTTAGGGACAATTCAGTAATGTCAATATTGATCTCTCTTTACTTTCAACTTGTGAAGTGTGAAATTCCTCTTTCTTGTACGAATTACACCCAGAATTACTCCCGGACCTGCAAATCAAATTTTATATTTGCAGTTTTAGGAGTAATTCTGGGACTAATTCGTAAAAAAAAAAGGGATTTCGCAGTTCACATGTCTATGAGTAAAGAGATGCCAATATTAAAATTACTTAATTGTCTATTTATTTAACACCAAATGGATAGAATAACAAATGAGGGACTAAATTGAGCAAAAACACAAAAGTATGGGACGAAATTGAGCGAAACATAAAAGTCTGGTACGATATTAGGTCACCAAAGTCGTTTAGGACGAAATTGAGAAAAACCATTATAGTCGAGGACGATTTTGGGTATTAACTCTATATATATATAAGCGAATAGATAGTAGTTTGGGTAAACATCAAAATCTGAGTCATGTGTAGTACATATTTTTCTTAAAATCTTATTTGTTACCTCCCAAAGGAGTTAAGAGTTTTGTAGCCTAGGTTTCCTAAAATAAAAAGAATTTCACAACAAATTAGTTTAACACTCAAACTAATTTGTCACGGGCAAACAAAAACAAGGTAGAACACTGAATTTTTAGGAGAATAATAGTAGAAGTTTGAGAGTAAAGAGACTACATTGTTTCAGAGGAAAAACAATATTTTCTTGTGTGTGTAAAAACATATATTCAACACCACAGTATTTATAGGAAAATGTTGTCGAAATAGCATTAATGTAACGTGGCAATAAATCAGTTTGTAACCTACTCATAACAAATCATTAGTTATGGAAATTACAGCTGAGGTTACAATGGTTATAAATTAAATTCTTAGTTTAAGATTGAAATTAAAATTATAATTCTAAAAAGCTAACTAGAATTTAATTACCCTCATGTAATTTCGATGCAAGAGGTTACACACTAGTAGAGGTTATTATTTAGAAAGACGCAACTTCACAAGACAAGCCTTAGCTGGTAAACTTAGCTACCTTGAGGCAATTTGACATACAATTAGTGATGCAGACCTACTAAATAACGAATAAATGGAATGGGAATGTATTTTAATGTGGAAATTCAAAAGAGAAAGCCACTAATCTTTTTGGGCTAAACCTAGCTAGCAAGGATTCTACTATTTGATGTCATAATACATGTACAACGATCATTTGGCTCTTTTGGAAACCTTAATGGAGCTCCAAGCTATGAAGAAGATGGAGTCGGGTAGAAAGAAGCTAAGTATAGTTATTTTCTTGGAGGGTGGGCAAGTGGAAGAAAAGATCTGTCCCTAGCTATTTGTCTTTACCCCATTGTGTAGGTTGTGCCTAGAGGAACAAAATAGGTACGTAATTCCCTTTCTTGGGGTCCAATTCAAGTAGGCTTGAGTGGACTTTATCTTCTTGGGCTAACCTCCATTGGTCTTGTAGAGTTGTAGATCACTTGGCTATATAATTAATTAGGCCTTGATGAGGTATGGATCAATCGTTATATCGTGCACGCCGCACCTTCTAAAACGACGTCGTTTTATTAAATTTTGTGGGAAGTTGATGCGACGAAGTGTATGTGTATTCTGTTATACAATTATGTACATTCAAAACATAAATTTCTTTTTAAGAATTAAGAGTTTATATGTATTATGTTAAGAGTTTATGTGTATTATGTATTATGTTAGATTATGTGTATTATCCTTTCAAAAAAGTGTATGTGTATTCTGTTATACAATTATGTACATTTAAAACATGAGAATTGTTTTTTTAAGAATTTAACAGCAGACACGAAAAACGAATTTTTTTTTAAAAAGGTACAAAACAACAACGTTTTGGGTCAAGACACACAATGCATTGTACGCCCTGGCGTACGATAAAATTTGCCGTTGTGGATAATAACCTCTACAGTAGTATATTATTGTATAATTGGGAATTGGGATTTGGTCCTTGTTAAATGCTTGAGCCTTGCATTTATTTTTGGGATAAGGGTCAAATAGACTCTTGAACTATAGGTAAAAGTGCAATTAGGCCATTTAACTTTACAAAAATGTAATTAGACCCTTCAATTTGTTATTTTGAGTCAAATTACATATTATTCACCTGCAATAACCAGTCAAAAATTTTCGACGAAATTTCCAGTGAGAATTTCGGCAAAAAAATCCGACCGCTGATAACAAAAAATAAATATATAAATAAAATTGACCGGCGCCTTCTCCTTCTCTAGTGGAGAAGGCGACCGGACTGATCGTCTTCTCCAGTTGGTTGCCTTCTCCACCAGAGAAGGCGCCCCGATCAATTTTATTTATTTATTTATTTTTTTGTCACCGGCCGGATTTTTTCACCGGAATTCTTATCGAAAATTTTTGACCGGTTATTGCAGGTGAATAATCTGTAATTGGGCTTATTTGACTCAAAATAACAAGTTGAAGGGTCTAATTGTACTTTTGTAAAGTTGAAGGGCCTAATTGCATAAAGTTGGCTTGATAACATAGTAAACAATAGGACAAGAAAACCATACTCCATCGATCTTAAATAGGGAAAATAACACTTTTTTCCATAACATTTTCTTCCTGAACTATTCAAGTGATTGTTTTTTCCCTGAAATATTAAATAGACATATTTACCCTTAAAATAAATATTTTATTTATTTTTCTTCTCCAACAAATTATGACTACGATTTGGTTCAAACCGGACATACACTATAGCAACCAAATCGAAATATTTCAATTACAATTTAGAATCGAAACCTGATATTTAGAGTTTATTAAAATCGCAAACCGGAACAGCCGGTTTATGTTCCAAATTGAAAAAGAAAATACATTTATTGTTGAATTTAGATAATTTTTAAAATAAAAATAAAAATTTAAAATGAAGACGATTCAAAATTGCGAACCGGATCCGGAACAGCCGATTCACGGTTCAGGATCTAATTTTTTCGATTCATAATTTTAATAAACTGAAATCCAAATATTGGGTTCTGGATCTGAATCATAACTGAAAACTTTCAATTCAATTGCTATAGTGTCCAGTTCAGCTTGAACCGAACCGTGGTCATCCCTACGTATAAGCAATAATTTGTTGGAGAAGAAAAATAAATAAAATATTTACTTTAAGAGTAGAAATGTCAATTTAATTTATCAGGGGAAAACCACCACTTTTAGAATAATGGAGGGGCTAATGTCTTTTATATATTATAGTATATATCAAAGCTACTTAAGTTTCTTTAGTATATAATGTCAATCTAAAGTCAAATTTGTATTTACATATTATAGTATATATCAAAGCTACTTCATGAAATACTAACTAATTGCAATTTTTTAAGGGTCCGTTTGGAAAGCAGGAAAATGACTTCTAGAAAATGAGTAGAATTGTATGTTTAAACATTTTCCTTTCCAGTTGGTTGCATTTTGGAAAACTTGGTGTGTTTAGCTTATTTTATGGAAAAATGAGTAGAATTGTATGTTTAAACATTTTTGCGGAAAATGACTTCCCCAAATTTTGGCGGAAGTTATTTTCCACCAAAATGGCTTCATTTTCCCCGATCAACGAAAAATGGACTTTCCTATTACATCCAAACACTGAAAACTTTAAAAACATTTTCCAAAAGTCATTTCCGAATTTCCAAATAGACCCTAAGATATGCATTAGACATAGAATTTTGAAAATAATAAATAAAGTAACATTATTTAATCAATCTAAATACAAAAAACATGATTAGAAACACAATCATTACAAGCATGAAATCTGATTACATTGGCTAACCTTAACCAAGTTCATCATCTAGTTAACTTAATAATCATAAAATATATAGCATACTCAATACGGTAGCTCAAGTAGCAAATGAAGTCTCTTTGTGAGGGAAAATTATAGGATAACTTGAGTTTAATTCTCTCCGGGCCACCTACAACTTGTTGTCACCATATAAATACTTAATTTTTAAAAACATGACAACGAAAATTGGTAGAATATGTAATTGAAATTGCGAAAATCAACAACACACTTCATGCTCATCCAGCATTGGATGAGGAGCATGCAATTATTGTTACATTTGCAGGTGAGAAATTAGATGGAATTCATGGGTTTAAGATTGGGAGTGGGGAAGCGAATCTGAGAAGCTCCTCGTCCCGCTCAAACCCCGACATGTCCGTCTTCTTCAACATCACCAGCGCTTCAAACCCGCCGCCACTTTGGTTGTCGATCAAGAAAAACATGTTCTTCATCGGACCTTTGGGCATGCTCACTTTACACGGCCACCCCCACCCGAAATCCGCCGTGTAGGCCGGATATTTGCCCAGACTGCTGCAGAAGTAGATGTCCAAATCTGGGTTCTCGTACGGCTTTTCTCCTGTCCGCAACGAGGTAACAATCTCCTGAACAAGTTCGTTGTCTCGGCTTTGTAGCCGCTCTTTTCCCTCTCTAAGCTCCGCCACCAATCTCGCCAAATCCATCTCTCCTGCGGCGGCCGGAGAGGTGGAGAACGTGGAGAGGATGTTTCCGGCGGAGTTGCACGGCAGTCCGAGGGGTGGGCGCATGTCAGCGTAGTGTACGAGGATGGAGGGCCGCCGGGACGCGGCGGCCTTGACGCAGCATTTGTATAGAAGCGCGCTCACAATCTCAGCTCTAGTTGGGTTTTTCACCCCTGATTCCTCGGATACGACGTCTTTTAGGAGGTCTAGTTTCTCCCCGGAAAACACAAACCGTTTTTGCACACAATCGTCCTCGATCTTCGACGGAATCATGGGTTTATCCAACGGCCCGGAAGGCAACGTGGGAAAAACCGAATCGCTGACAAAGTTGGGCGAGAGGTTGAGTTTCGGATGCCGAGTGGCGGCGACCCAGTGGCCCATGAAGTTCCTCACGGTCCCCCCGTCCCCAACCTTGTGACACATGGCGGCGCTAACGGCAATCCCGCCGCAATCAAACTCACTCAACTGAAAAACCGCCAACCCGCCGTCATGAATATTCGCCCACGGCAGCCCTGCCGGGAACGCGACATTCTGCGCGTCGGCGTCGGGGTGATTAATAATATCCAGCAACGTACAGTTAACTCGAACTCTAAAAAACTCCGCTCCCGCATCGTTGCAATCGACGGTGGCGTTGTCGAGAAGCCTCCCGGCGTACGGGTAGAACGAGGTCAAGGTTCTTGACAGAGCGTTTTGAAGGATGTCGGAAACCCTAGTAGGATCGGTGCGGTTGTTGTTTGGGTAGAAGAAGACGAGAGGTATGTACATGCTGGTGAGGGCTTGATCGAGGAGAGAGAGCTTGTGGAAGCGGAGTGAAGGAGGAGTTGGAGAACTGGGCTTGATGAGCAGCCTTTCGGATATTGATAAGGGAGGAGATGCAATAATGGCCATTTTAGTTTCTTGTGTGTGTAAAAACATATACTCAACACCATGGTATTTATAGAAAAATGTTGTCGAAATAGCATTAACGTGGCAATTATATTAAATCTGATTTAAAATCAGTTTGTAACATACTTGTAACAGATCATTAGTTATGAAAATAAGGGGTTACAATGGTTATAATCATTATAAATTAAATTCTTAGTTTAGTTAAGATTAGAATTAAAATTATAATTCTAAAAAATTAACGAGAATTTAATTACTCTTAGTTAATTTTGATGGAAGAGACCGGTTACACACTAATAGAGGTTATTATTCATAAAGACGTAACTTCAGAAGACAAGCCTTACCTGGTAAACCTACCCTGAGGCAATTCGACAAACAATTAGTGCTGCATGCTTGCTAAATAACTTAAATAAATGCAATGGGACATGTATTTTAATGTGGAAATTCAAAAGAGAAAACCACTAGTCTTTTTGGGTTAAACCTAGCAAGGATTCTACCAATCGTTATGCTATGGACCCGTGTCCAACATGCATGCTGGACACGGGTAACAGTGTCATTAGTTGCACTATTATCTTCCACTTTTATTTTTTTTTCTTTTTTTTAAAAAAAATTTCAGACCGCTTCGTTATAGGAGTATATGTTCATAATTTTATTACTATATGTTCATAATTGTAAGTTCATAATGTCAGAGCTCTATGTTCATAATTTCATAACTGTACATTCATACTTCCATAACTGTACATTCATAATTCCGTAACTGTACATTCATAATGCAATAACTGTAACTTCATAATTTTCGAAACTCTATGTTCACAATTTTAGAGCTCTATGTTCATAATTTTATCACTATATGTTCATATTATAAGTTCATAATGTCAGAGCTCTATGTTCATAATTCCATAACTGTACATTCATAATTGCATAACTATACATTCATAATTGCATAATTGTACATTCATAATTCCATAACTGTACATTCATAATTCAACAACTGTAAAATCATAAATTTTCGAAGCTCCATGTTCACAATTTTAGAGCTCTATGTTCATAATTTTATCACTATATGTTCAGAATTGTAAGTTCATAATGTTAGAGTTCTGTGTTCATAATTTTATAACTTACATTCATAATTCCATAACTACACATTCATAATTCCATAACTGTACATTCATAATCCCATAACTGTACATTCATAATGGCACAGACGAATACTGCCGTTAATGGCGAGGCAAAATCAAAAATTTTTTTTTTAAACTGGAATAACGCGTTTTCCCTGAAAACGACGTCATTTTGGACTCGTGTCTACAATGAATCCAGGGCATAATTTGCGGGATTCTACTATTTGATGTCATAATACATGTACAACGATCATTTGGCTCTATTGGAAATTAAACCTTAATGGAGCTCCAAGCTATGAATAAGATGGAGTGGGGTAGAAAGAAGAGAGAGCTAAATAGGTACGTAATTCCCTTTCTTGGGTTCCAATTCAAGTAGGCTTGAGTGGACTTTATCTTCTTGGGCTAACCTCCAATGGTCATGTAGAGTTGTAGATCACTTGGCTATATAATTAATTAGGCCTTGATGAGGTGTGGATAATAACCTCTACAGTAGTATATTATTGTATAATTGGGATTTGGTCCTTGTTAAATGCTTGAGCCTTGTAAAATTTTTTCTTTATACTTAATTTCTTTATTTTCTTTATTTGCATAAAGTTGGCTTGATAACCTAGTAAACAATAGGACAAGAAAACCATACTCCATCAATATTAAATAATAAACCAACATGATTAGCATGGTGGTTCAACATTTTATCTCTTAAACATGAGGTTGGAAGTTTGATCCCCACCAATGTGAATATAGCCAACTATTTGGCTAGTCCCCTACCACTTAGTGTGTTGAGCCTTTTGGCTATGGCTCTTGACAGTAGGGACTGGGGATAAGAGGTTTCCACCGTGCTAATCTGGCTGCTCCATATCCAAAGCCAATCGAATCCACAGGTTATCAAAACTACTTCAGGATATATTAATTAATTGCAATTCTTTATTTGTTATAAAAAAAAAAAAAGGTGTTCTTTATTTGAACTCAAAGATATGCATTACACATGGAACTTTTGTTAGGAACATATGTACTTAGATTTTGATGATACCAAAGTCACTAGAAAGTTATACCCCTCATTTACTCTTGTTGTTTTATCTTTCGTGCAGAACGAAAGTAATCTCTGTTCAAAGCAGGATTCGTGCTGAGATATGTATTTACACGAATCTGAGTATTGAACATCTAGTTAAGATAACTTTAAGAGAAGACGAAGATCAAGAGAAGGCCGAAAGATTCGCCAAGACCAAAACCTGGAAGGGTCTATCTCTCGTGTAACTGTCAAATGATAAAGAATGATCATTTGATCTGAGTAGTCAACGAATGATAAGGACAATCTTTCATTATCATGACCCGAGACAACGAGTCAAATCTGACCCGATTGGACAAGTTTTGTATGTCTTTCAGAATCACACTTGTCTATGTCTCAAAGCTGTGAAAATCATCATAGACAAATAGTGTCCTAGGAATGATATTTCAAATATCAAGGATCATTTCATGATCAGTACTTTTTGTCTCCACTACAAGACAAAAAGGTTGGTTACTTTTTGAAGCCAATAGCTATAAAGTACAACCGCATTTAAGTCTCCTTACTCGGCGGTCAATACATGCTGGTTAATAGGTTTGAATTTTCATCTCCCTCCAACGGATGAATTTCTCACTCCTATAAATATCCCTCACTAGTACTAAAAACATCAATAAAATGGAATTATTCGCGTCCAAAGTTTGAACTTTGGACGCCAAAAGTGTAGTGTGTGGCATTTTTGTAATTAAAATGCTACTCTATAATTTTTTTTTATTTTTTTTAAATTAAAAAGAATAGGCGTCCAAAATTATAGAACTTTGGACGCCTATTATTAACCCTTCCAATTAATTCACGTCCAAAATACGTAACTTTGGACGCGATTTATTAGGGTTTCAAATTACCCCCTTCTTCAGCTCCAATTCGGTCGCCACTTCCATCTCGAAAACCCTCGCCTCCGCCGCTCCATTCGTCTTCACCACTCCAACCCATCGTCTTCCAGGAAACCCTACGCTCTCAAACACCCCCAGAGCCACGCCCTTCGCCGCTCTCCATTCTCTTCCCCTCTGCCTGTCGTAGTTCAAGTCGCCGCCGCCTCCACCCCTCGCCATTCACAAGTAGTGTTTAGGTTACTTTGTTCTAATGGCTCAGCTGGGTGTGTAATTGGACGTGGTGCCACTATTGTCAAAGCTTTGGAGAAGGAAACATGAGCCTCTATAAAGTTTTCACCTCCAGTACCTGGGTCAAAAGGTTAAATTGATATCTTGTTGAGCTTTTGTCACCCATTCATTTGGTACTTCGTTTTTTGTCCTGGCCACTGTTAGATGGTTGACCATCAAATAATATCTCCTCTCACACCGTGTGTCTCCAGTCTCCTTATGTTTTTATGTGTCTTTTCTCATGGGTGTTGGGAATCTTATGCAGAACAAGGATCCATTGTACTCATCTGCACAAATTGCCACTGTCCGAGTTTTTGAGAGATGCATGGAGGTTGGTGTTGACCAAGGGTTAATACCAGGTCTAGGCATGGGAGAAATTGTAATTGCCAAGATTCTAGTTGCGTCGGATAAACTCAGTTGCCTTGTTGATGAAGAAGGAAATACTGGTTCTGGTATTTTAGTTTCAACCTCTGGTGTTGAAATACAGCTACTGCAAATGGACCTCCATCTACAGAGAATGATAGGGTAGTTGAGGTGTGTGTATGATACAACTTTAATCTCCATCTTTACAATTATTTGAACGCTCTGGCCTCTATAATGCAACTGCCTTTACACTTCAGAGTTAAATATGTTAGTAGTCATTTGTTCACCTCTAGTTGTTTGAAAAGAATGTAGTTATTTACTGTTCGTTGAGGTGCTGCTTCTGTTTTTGCAGTTTTCTTCTTTTCTGGTGGTGGAAAATATTGGCTAGGAGTTTAAGTAACTTGAAATTGGTCTGTTTGGGTGAGTTTGAAATGATTTGCTTGTAGGTTAGAATTTCCGTATTATCATGACGATATGAGAAACTTAAGATGATGCACATCTTTAATGAGTTTGGAGTTTTCTGTTGACGTATAAAATGTTGTTCTATTTTATGGTGTGGTGCTAGCAGTCTGTTGTATTCCATCTTATGACTTGGAAAGTTTTCAGTTTATCAGATGCTGAAAGATAACTTTAACTTCCTACAGATTGTTGGAGAGGAGTATGTAAATGTAAAAGACGCTCTTTTTCAAGTTACTGATAAGCTGAGGGAGAATCTCTTCTTCAGTTTGGCCTCTAAGGGTGTAGCACATAGGCATTATCCTTTCTCTTCAATGCCTGAAAGCAGCCTCAGTGAAATATGGAGAAAATCATCTGCTGTCCAAACAGATCTTGTGCCGAAGCCAGGTGGTCCTCATATATGGCTGCATAAAAAACAGGTAGAACACATCTTTTTAGTTGGCTTTGTGGAATTGTCTCTGCTTCGATCTTTTTAAGTAGTGTATACTATCCTACAAGGACTTTAATAGGAGGTTTCAATCTGCAGGTTAAGGACACGGTGAATGACACGACAAATAAAGATGGTTCAGGAGGCTGGAATAATTCGCGTGGTGCACTTGAACATGGAAGGTTCGTATTGCACCATATGCTTATTAATGCTTGCCATCTTTCTCTATCCTGTTTCTTTCCTGTGGGTGGGCCTTGGGTTGGGGGGGGGGGGGGGGGGGGGGGGCTGAAATGAGTCCAAATATTACAAAGGAAATAAACATCTTCCTATATGCTCTATGAAACGAATTAGTTACACTAATATGTACCATTAAGTTTGTTGCTACATCTGTACAAACTAGTGAATACCATTGCCACTCAGCACTATCCACTGGTATGTTTTTTATGAAGAAAAAAATTGTATTTAAATTAACTATACATATATATAAATTAAATTTGGACATGTTTTCTAGTTTTCTAATGAAAATTTTAGAAAGCTGGAGAAAATGAAAAAACTTGTTTTCTTTATCTCAAAAGCTTATGTTTCTTTCTTTCCCATGAGTGCGCATCTTTATGTAAAACTCTGGGACCAAGCTGCATACTAAGTAAAACTTGGGACCAAATTGCTTGGTGAGAGGTACTGTGATTCAAACATGATACCAACCTTGTTTTGTTTGTTTGACGATGATGATGCTCTTTTAGTTTCATATTCTATTTAAAGGCTGTGAATCTTTCTTCTCGTAAGGTATTTCATTTGCATTTGAGACTACTGCCTATACCCAAAGCTCTAAAATATTTTATTTCTTGTTACTTTCTGAAACTGTGACAGGCTGACAATGTGACTTCTCATCAGAAGAAGACAATTAGTTTAGCCCTTTCTATAATTTTGACATTAAGGCTGCCTCAAGTACTAGATAAATTCGAACAAATTCTAAGGTATTTACTCAATTTTTATTTTGATATATTGCTGCATATTTTCTGGTTTTATATATAAATAATTCAAATACTGTAAATAATGATCCCTCGGTGTCGTGGTTTTTTGAGGCACAAGGAGGATCATACATTGAGATTATCCATTGCAAACTGATGAGTGAAAAGTATATTTCGGTTTGTTTCGATGAGCATTTGACATAGAAATGTAGTAATTAATACTTATACCATGTTGCCATCTAACCAAATTACTGCATTCTAAATGTGATGTGAGAAAGAATAGATACTAATGCACTCTGAGGTGGTGCAATTTTGCAACATGTTGAAAAAAAAATCTATTTAGTCATGTAGACAAGGAACAAGCCTCCCAAATTCAGACAACAGATCAGTTCAATTCCCATTGCTGCTTGGAATGTGGTTATTGGCTTTTTCCTTGTGGTAACACCCTATACTCACCATTTCTTTTAATGATGGCTGGCATTTCAATTAGAGGGCATATAGATTTGATAGTTGTTTCCATGTGATTACTTTTAGTCAGATATCACTGCTTTTGCCATAAATGTGTATATAGCTTTAGAGATGCATGATCATAAAGAAAGTGATATTGGCCACTTCATAATTCATATGGTAGATAAAAGAAGAAACAGTGTTCAGTTTTAGGCTACTAGGGGATGTTTATGTTATTGTCTAGTCTTAAAGGAGTTCTTTATTGTTTTACATACAGTAGGTATTACCTTCACCAATTGAGTCTTTTTGGTTAATTCGTATACCCTCGAAAGCTCAAATCAAAATTATATGTAATTAGGATTTGAGTCCTTTTGGGTAATTCGTATACCCTCAAGATTGATTTGCTTAATAACTACTCCCTATTATATATATATTTTTTATGTTTATTTATAATAAGTATCAATTGTTTTGGATTTGTTTAGAGTTGGAGTGCATATACTCTCGTTAGTACAAAAATAGTCTAAAAAATCTAACAAGTTTGTTTGTATCACCAAATTTTATGACTTCTTTGCTTCAGGTTCTTTTGTATGGTGGACAAGTTGTCTCTTGGAAGAATGAACAGAGAGAAGAGTTGCTATTCAGGTTCTAAGTAGTTTTTTTTGAAAGGCAGATTCTAAGTAGTTTATTACCAAAAAGATAGACTACTTTTACGACTCATTCTAGGTTCCTTAATTTTTTGAATCTAATTGCAACTTTAATTCCTATGTCTAAACCAAACACTGTACCCATGATTTAATATTCGTTTGTTCTTTGGATCTAGAATTAGATTCAATGGAAAATTTTGTACTTTAGTGCTTGGCCTTCTATCAGGTAGTTGATTCTTTATAAAATTTCATTGTGGTTGATAAAGGTTATCACAATATTACATCTTAAGTAATTTATTTTAATTGTTAACATTTAGAATTTGTAGTTTATTTGTAGTAAATTTTATTAGAATTGAAATTTTAGATTAGTGTGTTTTAGTTGATAGAATTGGTGTGTAGTATACATCTTAAATTGATTGATTAATGTTGAAATATATTATTTGGTAGTTACACTGGAATGTACAGGAAAATATTGGTAATTTTATAAATTTTTTTTTTTTAAAAAAAATTACTATCCCGCGTCCAAAGTATAGAACTTTGGACGCATATAGTATTTTTAAGTAAATAAACACTATACGCGTCCAAAGTTCATAAAGATTGGACGCGTATAGTGTTTATTTATTTAAAAAAATACTATACGCGTCCAAATTTAACAATCAGCGTCCCAGCTACTTTGGACGCGAATTAGCCTTAACTTTGGACGCGAATGACTATTTCTGTACTAGTGCCTCTTCATCACTTGAAGAAGGTGCTAGTTGTTATCACTTTATTGCTATCAGAAAAACTTTCAAAAGCTCTCAATTTACTAGCTTTCTAACCAGCGTCTGTTTGTGAAGACTCTTCTAAAAGATTATCTAGTTATCTAAGTCTTCACAACATCAAGGAAATCTTGCAGTTCATAGGAAGATCAAGCCATCATCAAGTCAAGATTTCAAGTTGGAGATAACATCAATTCTTTCCAACACTAAACTCTGTAGTAGTTGATAGAGGCGGAGTAAACTTAGAGGAGTTCAAAAACCTAGCAAGTTGCTATCCGGCTTAATGATCAAGGAAGCAAGCTTGGCTTAGTTTGTACTAGGAGTGATATGCAAACCCTTTCACGAGTTGTGAAAGAAGAGTGAAGTAAGCTTAGTTAACAGCTGAACCACTATAAAAATCTCTCTCTCTTTAAATTTTCGCTGTGCATTACTCTTCAAAGCAAAGCTTTAAAAATCGCATAGAGTCTATTCACCCCTCCCCCTCTAGACTTTCATCCTTCGATATCGGGACCAACAACTTTGAAAATAATAAATAAAGTAACATTATTTAATCAATCAATCTAAACACAAAGACATGATTAGATCGAAACACAATCATTACAAGCATATATGAAATGATCACATAGGTCAACTGTACCCTAACCAAGTTGGCCGGCCTGAGTAAGGTATATAGCACCACATACAAGACATGATCTAGTTGGTGCACACTTTCGGGTGATGGTTACAACTTACAAGCTTCTTTTATATATACAATGACATAATTTTTACAACATGACAATGAAAATTGATAGAATATGGAATTGAAATTGCGAAAATCAACAACACACACTTCTCCATGCTCACCCAACGTTCGATTAGGAGGAAGAATTATTGTTACATTTGCCGGTGAGAAATTAGATGAAATTCATGGGTTTGAGATTGGGAGTGGGGAAGCGAATCTGAGAAGCTCTTCGTCCCGCTCAAACACAGACATGTCCGTCTTCTTCAACATCACCAGCGCTTCAACTCCGCCGCCACCTAGGTTGTCGATCAAGAAAAACATGTTCTTCATCGGACCTTTGGGCATGCTGACTTTACACGGCCACCCCCACCCGAAATCCGCCGTGTAGGCCGGATATTTGCCCAGACTGCTGCAGAAGTAGATGTCCAAATCCGGGTTCTCGTACGGCTTTTCTCCGGTCCGCAACGAGGTAACAATCTCCTCAACAATCTCGTTGTCTCGGCTTTGCAGCCGCTCCTTTCCCTCTCGCAGCTCCGCCACCAACCTCGCCAAATCCATCTCGCCTGCGGCGGCCGGCGAGGTCGAGAACGTGGAGAGGAGGTTTCCGGCGGAGTTGCACGGCAGTCCGATGGGTTGGCGCATGTTAGCGTAGTGTACGAGGATGGAGGGCCGCCGGGACGCGGCGGCCTTGGCGCAGCATTTATATAAAAAGGCGCTCACAATCTCGGCTCTCGTTGGGTTTTTCACACCTGATTCCCCCGATACGACGTCGTTCAGGAGGTCTAGTTTTTCCGCGGAAAAAACGAACCGTTTTTGTACACAATCGTCCTCGATCTTCGACGGCATCATGGGATTCTCCAACGGTCCGGAAGGCAACGTGGGAAAAACCGAATCGCTGACAAAGTTGGGCGAGAGTTTGAGTTTAGGATGACGAGTGGCGGCGACCCAGTGGCCCATGAAGTTCCTAACGGTCCCCCCGTCCCCAACCTTGTGACACATGGCGGCGCTAACGGAAATCCCGCCGCAATCAAACTCACTCAACTGAAAAACCGCCAACCCGCCGTCATGAATATTCGCCCACGGCAGCCCTGCCGGGAACGCGACATTCTGCGCGTCGGCGTCGGGGTGATTAATAATATCCAGCAACGTACAGTTAACTCGAACTCTAAAAAACTCCGCTCCCGCGTCGTTGCAGTCGACGGTGGCGTTGTCGAGTAGCCTCCCGGCGTACGGATAGTACGAGGTTAGGGTTCTTGACAGCGAGGTTTGAAGGATGTCGGAAACCTTAGAAGGATCGGTGCGGTTGTTGTTTGGGTAGAAGAAAACGAGAGGTATGTACATGCTGGTGAGGGCTTGATCGAGGAGAGAGAGCTTGTGGAGGCGGAGTGAAGAAGGAGTCGGAGATGTGGGCTTGATGATCAGCCTTTCGGATATTGATAATGGAGGAGATGCTATAATGGCCATTTTAGTTTCTGGTAATTTTCTTGATGACGATGAAATCAAATCAGTTCTTGATCTGTGAGTATGTTCTCAAGCTTCAATTTATAGACAGGCGAAAGTTATATTATGTGCCTAGGTGCACCTTAAATATGTACATCTCAATATATAGTCATATATATACACCCCCGAAACTTTCTAGAAATCA